CTGTAAAAGTCTCCACCTTTTTACAAAAATGCTGATTAGGTAAGAATAGGAAATCCTGTGCAAGATTGCCTTAATGCAAGTCCATGTACGCAGGCTTCCCCCACCATGTGCTTGGAAATACCAAGTCCTGGTATAGCTTTGCAAAGCAGGGGTAAGCACGGAGGGCTCACAGAGGTGAGCCTGCAACCTTGCCCTTGCAATCAGCCCCTGAGAGTCAGCCCCACCTGGCCCAGGCCAATCTCCCCATCAGTGAGCGACAATTAACAGCAGCTCTTCAGACAAGATAAAGGCAGGGCAGGGAGACAAGCAGGGCTGACTTTTCTCTGGGTGCAATCATGGAAAGCTTTGTCTATCCCCCCTTTGGTACATACCAGGGCTTCAGGGGCAGCCTAACACCAAGCCGTGGCAGGGACCCAGTGCTGAAGCAGCCCAGCTGGAAGCAGAGCAAGAGTAGTGGTGTCAGCCCCTTCCTTGGGGGTCCCCCAACCCCTATGCCTGCTGACTACCTCGACAGCTACCGGAGGGCCCAGCTCAAGGCCTTGCTGTCACAGGTGAGCCCAGGGCTGACACCACGGCTGCGCCGGGCCAACACTAAGGAGGTGGGTGTGCAGGTGAACCCACGAGCTGATGTTGCTGTGCAGTGCTCCCTGGGGCCACGCACCCTGCCTGCTGGCCGCCCCCTCAGCCCTGCTGCCCTCCGTGCCCGTGGGCCCCTTGCCCTCTACTCACCTGTGCTGGACCGTCGCCTCTTCACGCTGCCTGAGGCTGCAGGGCCCCAGGGGAAGAACCAGGCAGTGACAGCTACCACCCCTGAAGAGCAGAAGGCTGAGGATGGTAGTGGAGAGCAACAGGAAGGCCAGGCAGAGGATGCCCCACCGCATGAGGAGCCGGCAGAGGCACCACGGGAGGAGGCTGTGGCCCCTGGCCGGCGGGCTGCCTTCCAGGTATGCAATGCCGGGAGCCCTGGGCTAGTGTGGGGCCTGGGGCAGGTGGCTGGGGATCTGGCAGCCTGCCCTGGGCAAGGAGGCGAATCCTGAGTTGGGCTGGAAAGAAATCCTCTTCTAGGTGGGAGAAGGCATGGTGGTCCCCAGCCTGGCTTCCCCATCAGGTCTATGTTCCCCTTCCCTTAGGGTTAGTCATCCCTGGTGGGGCTCTGGCTCTTGCTCCCCTGTGATGGTGGGGGGCCTCCTGCTTGTGAGAGTGGGGGGTGTAATAAGGGAGCTGAGCCTGGTGTTGTGTGATGCCAGAGGTTGCTGAGTGCATTTTCTCTCTGCAGTTCTTGGAGCAGAAGTATGGCTATTTCCACTGCAAAGACTGCAAGACCAGATGGGAGAGTGCCTATGTCTGGTGCATTTCTGGAAGTAACAAGGTAGTTAACATAAAACAAGTATAGTTTTTGCTTCTGAAACTTGCAAGTATGACACTAAAGCTGTGCCAAATGGGATGTTTCGGCATGAATTTAGGGTGACTGTATAGGAATGTCCTGAGTAAGTCTCTGTAGTAACTGAGAACTTGTTTCTTAGGTATACTTTAAGCAGCTCTGTCGCAAATGCCAAAAGGGCTTCAATCCCTATAGAGTGGAAGCTATCCAGTGCCAGGTAAGTTACAGACTTCTGTGCCTTGGTAAGACTGCCGGAACTTGCCATGTATTAAAATTTGCATTAAAATAGCTTACTATTGATGAATTTGATGTTGACTTTAGGTGGAAGAAAGCAGTACCTGAACTTGCTTTCATTCCATTACTAGGAAGCATTATTTGGGAATAGCCTAACAGTGTAAGGCTGCTTCTTGCAAATGGTTTACATCAACAATCTTCTGTTCATATAGTGTCATACCTAACTACTACTCATACCTACTAGGGTTAGGGTTTTGACACAGTGTTTTGAGCTTCTAGATTAGAAGGTTTTTATAGCTGAACTCCGCAAGGTTTTCATTGCGAAAGCTCTTTTGAGCATATCGGATCAAATGTGTTCCTGTGATTAAGGGGAAACCAAATGTCAATCTGACATGACATGGCCATCTTTTTATCTGCCAATAATAAAGTGTCTCTTTTTTTAAGACCTGTTCAAAGACTCGTTGTTCCTGCCCCCAGAAGAAAAGACACATTGATCTCAAGAGACCTCATCGCCAAGAACTTTGTGGCCGCTGCAAAGGCAAGAGGCTGTCCTGTGATAACACTTACAGCTTCAAATACATTGTCTGATCCATGTGCCCTTTTCTGTTTTGCACTTTGCACGTTGTCAGTCCTCTGCAATGTTTTGACTTTAGGCTTTTGACCTGGCATTGGATAATGGATTAAGACTTTTGTATTATTTATAAAATATTTAACTTTACTGTACATATGTTGTAAATAAAGTTCAATAAAAGTTTGCACTAATTTGTTACCCCTTTAGTTTTATCTTGCTGTGATACACAGGGAAATACATCTGGAAGGAAGCAAAACCTATTTGATTTCCTAAAGCAAATGGATTTTGTCTTTATTCCTTTAGGGTAGTATAAAATAATAGTTTGCTGTAGCAAACTTGTTCTCTCTTCACTCTGAATACTGAACTATTGTGCAAGATGCAAATAATACTATGGGGATTAAAGTCTATGGTAAATGTACCCATCTCTCTTGTAGCTCATGCTACAGCAGCATGCCCCAGTGAATGACTACTCACCAGAAGAGTATGCCCTTAAGAGGGGGGGGAAAAAACTGTAAACTTAATGTGCTTCAAAGTGTGTGTGGGAGGAATCTTTTGAGTCAGGGTAACTGGGAGGTTGTCAACAAATTCTCTAGGCTTAATGTGTCTCAATATCCAGAACAAGCCTGTGTCCTTTGTTAAGTAAAGGCTTCTGCCCCACAGGCTTGCTGGTTATATAAGGTGTTTCTATTGTAGCTGGCTTAAATATAACTCTGTATAATAAAGGGAGTAACTGAACATGCTTTTACAGGGGCGAAATGTAAGACAGTGGAAATGTGCTTAAACTAGCTTTGTTGCACGGAAGCTTTGAGGAGCACTACTGAAACTAATGTATTCTTAGGACTTCAGTGAGACTTTGTTAGGAATATGCTAATTCCTACTCTACCTAAAGTCTAGATTGATGTGAAGGAAAAGTTACTGCTTCACTCTTTTTAACTGCAAGGAATCATAGAACCTCTGGACCTCTTTTCCCTACTCCAAACAGGGCCAATTACCTAATGATCAAATTGCTCAGGGCCTCGTCCATCTGACTTTCTCATATCTCTAAGGATGGGGATTATGTGGTCTCGCTGTGCAACCAATTCCAGTTTTTGAACACCCTCCTGATAAAGTTTTTCCTTTATTTCTAATAGGAACTTTCTGTGTTGTAGCTTATACCCACTTCTGTGCTTCCATAAGTCTGGCTTTATCCTTTCTACATATTCCCAGCAGGACTACGTGTTAGGAAGATAGCAGGAAGGTATTTTCTTAATGATAAACCCGGATTCCTCAGGCTCTCCTAGAGCGTCATTTCCTCCAGCCTCCCTTAATGTTTTGGTAGCCATCTGCTGAACTTGATCCAGTATGTCCATGTCCTTCCTGTACTGGGAATCCTAAAACTCAACACAGTATTCCAGGTGTGGTCTCATAACTTCTGAATAGAAGGGAAGAATGACTTCCCTAGACTTGCTAGCAGCACTCCTAATACAGCCCATGATGCAGCTGGCCTTCTATGCTGTAAGGGTGTACTGCTGACTTAGGTTCAGCTTGTCTGCCAAGATCCCCAGATCCTTTCCCATAGAGCTGCTTTCCATTCAGTTGGTGCCCAGCCTGTCCTGTTGCATAGGGTATTCCATCCTGATGCAGTTCCCTTTTGCATTTTGATTTTGCCCTTTGTTGAAGTTGATGGGATTCCTGTCTGCCCATTTCTCCAGCCTGTTGAGGTCCCCCTGAAGTGCAGCCCTACTCTCCTAGTGTATCAACTGTCCCCCCTTCCTTGCAAATTTGGTATCACCTGCAAACTTGTTTAGAGTGCACTCTGTCCCATCACACACATTAATAAGGATGTTAAATAATACTAGCTCCAAAAGTGCTACTAATAGCCAGCTGCCAGTTGGAATTTGTACGGTTGCCCAGCCAATTTTCCAGTTGCCTTATCCAGTATGTATCTCATCAGTTTGGCATAGATCATGTCAAAGGGCAAGGAAAACAACATCCACTGTTCTCCCAGCACCCACTGAACCAGCCATCTCATCATACAAGGCAATGATGTATAATTTGCCCTTGGTAAAGCCCTGCTGACTGTTCCCAAACGCTTTGCTCTCCTCTTGACTATGGAAATGGCTTCCAGGCAATTTCACTCCATTGCCTTCCCAGGGACTGAGTTAGGCTGATGGGTCCATGGTTCCTGAGCGCCTCTCTTGCCTTTCTGGAAGATGGGTGTTACATTTGCCTTCTTCTAGTCATTAGGAACCTCTCCTGGTCTCCACAAGTGATGACTGATGTCCCTCTGGTGGCCTTGCAAAGGCAGTGGCCACTTCCCTTGGCTCACTTTGATGAATCCTGTCTGATCCCATGGACTTGTTATGGCCAACTGGCTTAGGTGCTCCTTAAGTCTGTTTTTCTCCACTATGTGTAATGTGGATACCTCCCACAGACATTGCTAGTAGGCTCTGGGACTGGGGGGGAGGGAGGGGGGGAACGGGGACCAGCCTTCCCAGTGAAAACCAAGGCAAAAAGCAAACAAAAAACCCCCACTGTGTACCTCAGCCTTTTCCATGTCCTTTGTCATGCCGTTCCCTGCCCCATTGAGCAGCAGTGGGTGAAGGGGAAAGGGCTTTATCTGAGCCCAGAACCTAAGCTGATATGGCAGGCTGGACAGCTTTTCTTTTAATTTTAGCATGAGAAAAAAGCGCTGAGCCCAACGATAGAACTAATAGCACCATAATGACATTTTAAACAGAAACAAATCTTAACCTGTATTTTGATTTGTTTTTTAATTGTTAAATTGCTTTAGTCAATTTACTCTTCCTAGTTGAGTTGTAACTACAGACTGACAAAGAAATTCTTATGCTTCTCATTGGTCTCTTTCAATGTAATGAACCACTCCACCATAAACCATGAAAAAGTTGTCTTTTAGGGCTGCTTATCATTGATGCCATTGGCAACAGTATAGACTGAGACAAGAACAAGATCTTCACAACTAGCACATACTCTCTTGTGATTATATATGACTTTTATATTTTAGTTAAATGGATGTACTGATCCAAATATCAACCAAAGTTACCTCACAAAAACGGTAAGTGTATTTACAGAGTGAATAAGTTACATAGTTGTCAGAATAAAAGTGTCTCAGATGTGCAACAGATTTACATGCATACATTTAACACTGGACAGCAGTTAAATGCAGGAAAAAAACATACAGGTATGACTTTTATATATACATTACAAATAAAATAAGACATCTCTGTAAAGAAACTTAACATGAGAACTTGCATTTCACGTTAATATTTTTACTTTTTATACTTCAAATTTATATTAAATAAAAATATGCATGCATAACAGTTCAAAAGATTTGACTCTGTGATGGGACTTTCTCCTACAAAATGGCAAGTTAAATTAGATCAACCATCCTTTAATAGTATAAATATATTCATAAAAGCAACCCTCTAGTAAAAAGCAGCCAAGGTCCTTAAAAAAAAAAAGAAGAAAATCTACCAAGACCATTCATGATACTTGGGGGCCTAAGAACAGACCTCTGCAATATGATCCAGTACCTTCACAGACAGTAGCCTAGTAACATTAGGAAATGTACTTCATAGCAGCTTGTTGTTTTAAGATACAGTAATCATATTCAAATTACAGTGTACATTGAACTGTAGTCCATTTACAATTTGTTTCATATACACAGGCTCTCAGCTTTTGACCAACATGTTTGCGAGATTCTGTGGCCAGCTTCATTCTGCCCATCTTTCACTCAATCAAACAAGAGAAAAAAGGAAAAAATGTACAAGTTTTTTTAACAAAAAATATTATTTCGTGAAGGAAACATTGCACTTTTGCCAACCAAAAATTAATTTGCTATAAAGGAAGTATTGTTCAGTGTAGTAGGCTTTGGTACGCAATGGAAGTCACTTCTTCAGTAGTGAGTTGCAGTTGCTCAGTGAAATGCTAACTGATTTTTGTGCAACAGAGAACAAAGGATGTCCTGGATGCTCTATGCTACCTTTGTCCTGACAGTATTGCTACACATTTGAAGTTCTGCCCATATCTTTTTAGACGAAATCCTAAATGTAACAAGAGTGAGTACAGTTTGACCAAACCTTTGTAAGGCCGAGAAGACATTGAACCACCTCACTCCAGCAGGGCAGCACTCCCAGCTTGAGAGAGGACACAAGAGTCCTGTCAGAGACTTGTGCCGGAAACGCTGGAGTCTGGAAGAAAAGTATTGATGACCCGGTAACTCTGAGCTCTGCGAATCATGTCACGAATCTCTATATTCAGTTCCATTAATTTGGTACAGATTTCAGTCAGGCTCTGGTTGGAGCCCACCAGTGCATAGGTGCCAGTCTGGCCCAAGGTTTGGTGCCGGAAGTAAATGTTCAGTAGTGTCTGGACTTCATCATCAGAGCTACTTCCAAAGATATCATTGGGCCACAAAATCCTGCAATCAAACAGGAAAAGAATGTGCATATTGTTATGGGTTAATGAGCACAGACTGAAACTAGGTGACAGAGCTCTAAAAGGAGAACTGACTTGCACATGTTTACAAGCCAAAAGCAACTCACTGTTTTACACCACTCCTTTGTTAATCAGACTCTCAATATCAGATACTGAAGTCACGTAAAAGAGCAATTCCTATTTTCTAAAAAAAGCTTAAGAAAACTCATTCAAATAAGTGAAAGAGAAACTGGGCTGAATGTTAGCTGATGCCAGTGATGTACCCCTGCGAAGGAATTAGCTCTACAAATAGTAGCGCATCACAGTAGTACTTTGGATCTATACAGTATAATTAAACATCGTCACTGTTGTAAACGTGTAAGTTTGTATTACTGATTTGATATCGTTATTTACGAAGCACCCCTGCAAGAGTTAATATGAGTGCCCCAAGTACCTTCTTGAAACATACTGATTTTATCATGATGACTCAGCACGCTAGATTTAGGATAAGTTTTGGGAGATAAACAATGCATGCTTTTCTAATAACACGAAAGCCTAATGTCAACCATGCAGTAAAACTTGCCTGCATTCTCTTATTTGTCGCACAGCTTTAACAAGTTCATTGTTTTTCAAACACTCCAGCATGGATTGAATAGCTGCTTCTGTGGAATTGAATGTGGGCTCCGACTCCACATTCTGAGGCTCAGCTGCAATGGCAGCAGTAGCATCCTTAAGATTCTTCTTCAGCTCACTCAGTTCTCTCGACATATTTAACAGCTGTTTCAAAGGAAAAGATGTGAGACACATATTTTCATTCTCCATAAGCCCCAAAGGGAGTAGTGCGTTTCAAGTCTGTTCTTATTCTCTTATCAAATGTACATATTACTTGGAAAAGACACCTTTTTAACATAAGGACATCTCTTGATCTCTGTGGTCTGTACAGTGTAATGAACACACAAACTACAAATTTTTAATCTTTGTGCTTTCTCTAATCCTATGCTTTAATTTTGGCTTGCTAAGATGCCAGAGTGCAATCTTTCATTTTTCTAAACAATCTTTTATTTTCTTCCTGCTACTGTTTCTGTGTCACAGTGGAAAAGTTTAAGAAAACAACATTTACTTCTGCTAGCAACAATGATGTTATTTATTTACAGAACACATGCAGGATCTGATACGATTAACAGATGGACAGGAACTGTGTAACCCTTTCTTGGTCTGAGAAGTCAATATGGCACAAGACTGATAAATAATTCATAAATGAGCAGTTTGTTTCTAAAGATCTACCAGTTCCTGTTTGTATACGTTAAAAAGAACCCACTAGATTCCTGGTATCCTATCTTCTCGACACAGTGCACATTCCAGTCACATTACAAGACAGCCACTTAAAATACAATGTGTTTCAAACTCCTTGCGCTATATACAGCACATCTAATAAAACAAGCCATTTTTATTTACTAGAGAATCTGCAAGCTACTAGAATCTATCATAAAATACATTTCATAGTTTCAAATGTTCTTTTATGCCTATAAGCAAAGTGAAATAATTTCCCCTCAATATTTTTAAATACACATTTTACCAGGGAAAAATATGCATAAGGAAATGTAACTTATTTTACTCTCTTTCCTTAAATAATTTTCATTCAACTTATAGTTCAAAGATGCGTTTTTCAAAGTAGTACATATTTTATGCAATTTCTGAAATACGTTCGCTTTACAATATTGTTGCGAAGTGTTTCTGTAAGTAAAATATGTTGATATATCTACAAAGGGTCAGCTATCTGGGTCAACATAGAAATAGAGAGAACAGTTACAGAGTGTTGTGTCAAAAATATTTAAAGAAGAGTGTTTGTAAAAATCACAGGATTAGAAAAATTATTATGACATTAAGATTTTTTGTAAATGATATTTTAAAAATACATTTAATAGTCTTGGGAAGTAATAGCCTTGCAGCAGAAACAAAAGATCTTTGTTCATCCACAGTGCAGGATCGGGAGGTACAAGTCCAGCCAAAATATAAACTAGTTCTACACTACACACCTTTGCTGGTATAGTTATGAGAGGATGCAAAAAAATTTAATTGCAGTTTGTCAAAAAATGTTGCAGGAGTTTCTAGTATAAGTTATACGCAGCTGAAACAGTTTACAGAAAATAGAAATTACAATACATTATCCCAACAAAAAAACCCTCAATTTTGCATCCATATTAAGATTAATTTACAAATTATTTTGGTACTGTCATGCTAACAAGCGCTCCTAGGGTAAACCTCTCCACAAAGTCCACATAAAATCAGCCATGATCTAGGAAAAGGATTTTTCTGGTACGTTTGAAGAAAGCTCAGTTTCTCAGAAAATTAAGACCTCAATTCCAAAAAAAAAAAAAACTTTTGCAAATAGCTCACACAGAGTGAGTACTCCCTACATACAGAGCATGTGGATAAAGTTAAGATTCCAAATATAATTCCAGTTTTTTTACTACTGACTCAAATGAATTTTGAAGATTGGATTTATCAAATAACCTAGTCTCTGAAAGTACAATCAAAAAAAAAAAAAAACGCAGGATCTCAACTATATTTTAACAAAGATGCTGGTGTACTGAATTGTTTTGTCTGCAGACTCGTATTCAGGGTGAAACAGTGAAATTTTTGGTGCCAGTCTATGGAAAGAAAAACAAAAAGATGAAGGTAAAAGTGACTTTTCACTAGAAGACTTGGTAGTGCTTGTTACATACCTCTGGCATGGAGCTGACTTCATGAACCTGTCCGATAAGTTTACAGTAGGACTGAAAAAGCAACAGCAGCTGGAAGTGGAGTTTATATAATCTCTGACACAGTTCCAGTTGCTAAGGAAAGATTTATAGGAGAATAAATAATTAATAAAGAACAGTGATTTAGGATAATTTTTAATAACTAATAAAACACACGGAGATATAAATTATTAGTCCTCCATCAAAAATACATTATTTTACTAACATAGGATCATATACTACTTCAAAAAAAAAGTATTATGTTATGTCTTCTGCAGGTAGGTCATATACAATATTGAAAATCAAAATAGTAATGGCTAGCATTTGTCATGTAGCACTTGTCAGCAAGATTAGCTTCTCTGTCATCATTTTGCAGCAGGAAAGCGCAGGCAGGGAATGGGGAAGAATGATTTGGCCATAAAGAACATAAATATTTCAAAAATTCAGAAATGGTCAAAGACCTCTTCTGAGAGGATGGAAATCCAAAAGAGAAGCAAGAAAATATTTCTAGAGGGTCAAAGCTCCTGTATGCTTTTATGAGGGGAGAGAAGAGAGGCAATAAATCCAGCCAGGTGTGGGAAGGAAGAAATGCCAGCTCCGCAACCTAGACCTCAGCTCATGGATTTTCCACCATCTTAACGAAGCCATACAACAGGTGAACTAAACTTCAAGTATAAGAAGAAAGATAGCCTCTACATATTTCCCTGGAGTAAGTAGATGCTGTTTATGAATATTAACTTGTTTCTCCCAGTGTGAGGTGCAGCACCACATGGAAGATGTTAGGCACATCTAAGTCAAATGAAATGGCCATGTGTGTCAGAGAAGGCAAGTCAATATGCTCATGGTCCTGGTATCTGGGTGTCCATCAGGAAGGGGAATCTGGCAGTTCCACAGATGGAGGAGCGTGGAAGGGAAGTGAGGGGGATATTTCACCTTTGACACATTACAGAAGAAGTAAAAATTCTGCACAACTGAGGAAGCTTCCTGTTGCTCTGGCAGGAATGACTCTCAGACATGAGATGCTTATTTGAATTGTCTTCTACACAGACACAGTGACCAAGGGATCTTTCCATTTGCTTGGAGAAGTTACAGCAGAGTTTCATGCCAAACATGGCAGAAAAAAAGAGGATGCTATTAATAACTTTGCTTCCTTAATGCACTTTATACATGCTTAGCTACCAGCATGTGCTTCAGCCATTTGCTGAATTGGCGGTCAGTGCAAATGCCAGTATAATAATAAGAAAAAGTACTTTAAAAACATCATAAGCACTAATTTGACTGAAGTGTTTGTTTACATATGCTTTGGTGTATAAGCACGTAAGTGCCAGGGTTTCTATTAATAAGCCAAAATTAGAACCACATTCTTAGCGTCTCCAGTTCTCAAAATTTCTTTACGAGCTAGACAAGTCTGAGGGGCTGAGGTCAAAGAGAGACCCTAGTTCTTTGGCAATTTTCAACTTATTTTGTCAGGCAAAGGCAGGCAGCAACTACCTAGCTATGAACAGTTAGTTCAGGTCACTGCCAGGACACAGCAGAGCCATTCCCCTGCCAAAGTCCATCCCCTGGGAGCTTCACGGGGGCAAGCGGGGGAAGGAGGAGAGCTGCAAGTCAGTAGCTCTTTGCCTGATGGAGCTCCTCCTGCTTAACGCTTGGTAGCTTACCCACACCTCAAGAGCGGTCTGCCACAGAAGCAGAGTTCAGTGGGGTAAATTTCCCTGATCTGAGCCCCTTGCTGCTCTGGATAAACTGTTTCTAGCACCTCAGACAGTTTGTTTCCATTGAGCCAGGGCTGAGCATTGCCTCCCAAATACAAGGGAGGATCTCACCAGGGCTGCTGGGACCCACAGGAGCTGAAGGAAGGGCAGGCAGATCCAAGGTGAGGAGAAGGGGGGGAAAAAGGGGTAGAAACAAATGTGTGACCTGCTAGGACAGAACTGATTTGTGGGCAGGCACCAAACATGCCTGTGGCCCAGAGGATGAGAAAGTACAGCATGAGGGACACGGCTGGTTAACTAAACCTGCCCAGAGGCTACTCTCTGGAAGTGAGACCACATTTGCATCTATGCAAGTTTGCATCTATGTGGCTAAAGTCTTACCTCCTAAAATAAAAAGTGAGAGTTTAAATACGGGACCTCCTGGAAGTGGCTTGGGCTTCTCTTGAACAAGGCTGAGGCTGGCTGGCTGCCAGCAAAGATGCCGACCGTACAGGAACATGCTGCCCTGGGGCTCAGGACCCAACAGGGACCAGGGAGCAAGCGTGACCACACAGCTCAGCATTTCTGCAGTCTGGATCAAAATCACTCTGTTCAAATTTTGGAGCACTGGTAACACTAACTAGCTGTTAAACGCACATATGCCTGAAGCTGTCAGGGAGTTAAAATTAATTGAAAACCAGGACACATAATTAAAAAAAAATCTCATGATAGCTTGGCATGTAACACATGATTTTTTTAGTCCTTGAAGAACAATAATTCATTTTTGCCCCACTGGCTGCTAAACTGAATTAAGACAAACTGAGGTTAGTATGAAGAATCAGGTTGGACTCATTCAGTATTTAGTTATCATATCAAGCAATTCAATTTTCTTTCTTCCTGGGTAAATGTTAGAAATGAGTAAAGGTGAAACTATTCATCAACATATAACCAAAAACAATTTGAAGCTTTACTGTCAACTAGAAATTGTAGTTTTTCATCAAGACAGATCGAAAATTATGAATTTTAAAATAACAAAAAAATTGATTTTCCACTCCAGCATATTATATCCAAAGATTAGATTTTAAAAAAAAATTAATTATTGACCATTCTAAAGGGCAAGTGAAAAATGTCAGAATTTTGTCATAGTACTTTTAGAGTTCACAAAACACACCTTAGTAAATTATTTTAGTGATTGCACGTAGAACCACACTTGCTACAGAGAAAAATTGTAACGAAAAAGGAAAACATGCTTAGAGGTAAAACAGTAAATTTGGGGTGTATTAGTCCATCTACAGATGGACAAAGAATATGAAAGAACTTCAACTTACTGCAAGAGATTCCATTTGCTACACAGCAAGCATGGCACAGGAAAAAAGGAAAGGAAAGAAAGTATAGTGTCAGTGTAACGCATGCAATAGGAAGCACAGCCCATCTTTAATAGCATAACTTGTCAGCAGTATTAGCAATGCTTGCCTCAACCTGATAACTGGTTGGAAATACCACATACGACATGCACAGCAGTCTCACTAAATAAAATCAAGCTTTAAGTTTAATGGTAAATAATAGACTAACTATCCTCAGTTAGATCCTCAGATTTAATAGTTTTGATTTATCGCACTTAGTAGCTCAGGAACTTACGGTAAAATTGTGTTACAAAATTTGTGAAATAATACATTTACTTAAATTTGCTCTCTTTATTATTGAAATGAGCTCATATCGCAGAAGTACTCAAAACATTATGCAGGGTTTTCAAGTGATTAACAGAACTGAACTTTGATATTTATAAATATTTCGTTATTTATAAATACTTCCATTTTTGGATATCACAGACCTAATGAAATTTCCAGTATAAGCCTTGTGACTGTTAGGTTTATTACTTGGCTCATGACAATGGAAATATTTTGCATACAACTTTGAAGTTATGACTATCATAATAAAAAAAAAATCCAAGGAAAATGCCAGATTGGTTCGACTGTGTGGCAGTGCTGCAAGTTTAGACAGATTAGTATTTCTTCCTCTCACCAGTAATGATTCACTGATTCTTAATTCTTCTGGGGCAATTAAAAGGTCCTGTTGCAATAATAACAAAAACGTCTAATTGACCTGCATTAGCATTTCAGTGATTAGGGGAATAGCCTCTCAGAAATAAACTCATATCCTCAAAAAGAAGAGCTCTTTTCTTTGTCAAGAACTTAACATTTGCACCAATCTGTTCTCTGCACAATTCTAATGTACCTTTCATTATTATATATATTATATTCTCATGCTGTTTTAAATCGACAGAGTCATCATGTATAGTTGTAACCAATAAACCGGAATGCCATCTGCCCAGGTGCAGCCAGATGCCAGTGCATAGGCACATGATGTTAATGAACAATTGGAATTTTTATTAAAATGATTTATATTATCATCTATGCAAAAGCAGCAAATACAGAAATGTTAAATAATGCTAACTCGGCATAGGCAAAGTATTTTGATTTGGCTTCTTTCCATGGCCTTAACTATTAAAAAAAGTATGAAAAGTACTGCCCCCCAATCCCGTGCTACCCCTCCATGCAACTGTGACAAACTAACCTTTACACTTATGATTCAATTTTATGCCTTTAACATTATTTGAACATTTTCCTCTGTATTTAGTACTCTAAAAAAAACTTTATAACTTGTCAAATTGCATGCAGTTCATGTAAGTTAAGCTTTGTAAAGCTAAATTTAAGATAAGAAGATGAAGAGAGCAGACAGATTACTGTGCTCTAGTGAAGTCACAGACATGCTGTTTTGCGTTTTTCAAATCTTGTTTGCATCTCAGGCTCCTCTGAATTTTAGCATGCCGCTAAGTGTCATTTGGAGTTTTAAAAGTATTTGAATCCATACATGATTTCTAATTTGCCATGGAATTTACTTTATAGAGGAAGGGGGAAAGCAGCACATAAGTGAATTCCATGGTCATTTCTTCCCCAGAAAAACTGTCTTCTCTCTACTGCTTGCAAAAACTGTGCAAATCAAAGAGGGGGTGGTGCAGGGGGTAAGAGAGAAGAAGGCTTCATCTTAAATGAAAAAGCCATCCATCCTCACGGAACGAAAATATACTGCTCTTTCAATAAATATTGCAACGTATCCCTAAATTACTGATGTTCTACTTAACATGGCTCTGTAACTTGATGATTTTAGCTCCTCTTCCTATATCCTTCAGCATAAAAGGAAATATTCCTTGGAGGTTGACAAAATAATATTTTTTGAACGAACTGATATTTCTTAGTCCCCCTCTCCCTTCAGCCAGGGTTCAGATGGAAAGATCCTAGCTTCCAGTGTGCTTCTCAGTCTCTAGCTCAGCTCCTATAATAAGTCAAGGGTTGTTTCAGATTAATAAACAGGACGTAAGCTGACAGACACTACACAAGTAGTTTCTTTGGTAGGTGAAAATACTGAATGTTTAGAGACTTTGCATATTTTGCACAGTCCTTCATGCAGTCAGTGAATGTCACACCTGTCTGAACCTGCAGCCACAAAGAAACCCACAGCAACAGGTACATTTTGAATTTTTTGAGCAAAGTCGTATGGGGTGTAGTATGGGGTGTAGTATGGGGTGTAGCAAACCCACAAACCCATTAGCTTGTGGTGATCTCTGGGATGAACAAGGCTTAAGAATGGTGTATACTGACTTTGGACTTATGGAGTAAACTGAATGTCTCGTCAGGAGGCAAATACTTCCTTGAATTAGCATTGCTAATTGACAGGAAAAATATGATCTTCCACATATCTCTTTTTCAGAAAAAAAGCAGTCTCCAGAAGAGTATACCAATAGCTTTACTCATCTAACAAGACTGTTACAGCAGGACAGGCAGCAGAATAGTATTATGCAGTTTTCTTTCTCCATAAAATAATTCCTATGCTCTTGAGACTCTGTTGCTGGACATAGCATCAAAGCTTTCACATCACAGTCACATCCAAATCACGTAATCTGTTGCGCGAATAAGGGAGGAAGACATTCTGGGACGTTAAGCTTTTACCTAGTCTCAGACAATGTGGTAGTTCCAGCAGCTGACCTAGACTGTTTCTATTTCAAGCTTCTTGGATGTCCTAGCAAGCAATTTTTGCCTTTGTTCACATTCAAGAAACAGTAACAATGGCCAACAAATCATGTGCAATTATTTTGCAATAACATCTGCCTAGAGAAACTGGTGCCCACTTAACTACTAGCATAAGCAGGCCCAGGTTCATTTAAGTCATTTGTGATGCAGCCACTTGTGCTAACACTGAATTTGGCCTTATGTCTGCCTTGTCTATAGAGCAGACAATTTCTACTCAAGCTTTTTACCCGTTGGTAAATTTTAAGACTCTAAGGTTTCTGTCTTCTGTAGAACAAGGTACTGGTTTTCCGCCTTACAATTACTTCTGACCCTTTTCCAGCAGCGGCCTGCTTCTGGGTTGAGTTAAGTAACTTGGTATGTCAGAAGCAACCCAGGCCCCAGCCTAACCCTTAGTGAGCTGAAGAGTTTAGGCAGGTTCCCTCATGGCCAACAACATAAGACAGCTTTTCCTGCAGTTATCTGATTCCTTGGCATACCTCCCTTTCTTTTCATTGTGTACCTACATGGCTATACCATTTCATGCTGAGGGAGAAAAGGAGAGGAAAGGCATGAAGACAAATTATCTGCCAGTCTCGGAGTCACTTTTCCCTTTCTAATGGCATTTTCTTAGTTGCCCTGGACTCTTCCTTCAATTATATTTTTGGTGAATAAACACTACTGTAGATGGAGACAACTCCTTTGGCAAGAGCTGTTTCAATTGACAGGTGAATGAGAAGGGAAAGAAGAAAAATATGCCCCTTGATCACAGACCTACCATCCTGTCAACTTCCAAGGAATAATATACATTTTGGGCTGAAGGAACATTGCTGGGGAGACAGAACAGGGATTCCTGCAGGAGTGAGGACCTATCAGTATGCCTGATAAGCAGTCAGGACATTAACCCTGGCTTCACAAAACACATATTTAATTCTGAGACAGAGAACATCTAATGAAAAAAATATACAAACAGAACACGGACACTTCTAACTTTTAGATGCTTTTAGGCCCTTTAGGTATGATCTCAGTTCATCATCTATTCCTTCTTAGCATTCACTCTGCTCTACCTTTTAAAAAAAAACAAACAAAGTAGATCATCAGCAAGATGTGTGATCCTCCATCCCATTTTGCATATTTTCAGAAGAGGGATGAGGAGCATAAGTGAGTTGTATAGAGCAAGACGTGTAACACCTACTGTCCAAAGCCACTGTTCAGGGTGTTGTGCACCAGTGGGAAGAGGGCACTCATCCAGGCCTCTCCATGTATATTTTATTTCCCACTCATGACGTACTCACAGGCGAGGTAATAGCATACGTCCCAGGTCCCTCTTTTTTTTTTTTTTAACTTTTGAGAATAGCTTTTTCATAACATCCCTGTGCACCATTGCAATTAAGGAACGGATTTTATTTAAATGCATTGGAAACTATGTGTAACTTTTGCTGGTGCCAATACCATACAGGGGAAGCTTGAACATGTGATTCTACCCAGAGGTTTTAAGGCTAATAAGGTCAAGGAAACGAAAAGGCAGTGGTGGCAAGGATTTGGGATTACTGGTCAATTACATAAATAAAAGTCAAGGGAGACCAAAGACAGGAAGATAAATAGGGAGAGGAAGGAAAGAGAGGTTAAGATAAAAACAGAAGGAAAGAAAATAAATTGTAGGAGAAGACAGAGAGAACGACAAACCAAAACCAAAACGAGAAGAAAACAGTATCTGAAAAAAATAGCCAAAACAAAGTAAAACAAGGTGAACATGTCATCATTGTTTTTTATATGTAAAAAGACATGTTTTATATGTAAAAAGACATGGAGAGCGATGTCACTTTTCTTCTATATGCTGGTGCTGTTTCTTAATTTTGGTTCCTTTTCTCCAACTCCCTCTTTTCCCCATCCCTCTGTTCTTTTTCCTCCAAAGAAAAAAGTCACAAAATAGCATTTCCCAACTCATTCCGCATCACTGAAATACCAGCTATTTCCTATACTTAGTATATCAGACAGCCAGGATGCCTGCTGATGGTGCTAACTTATGAAAAGATTTCTTAACTGGAATCAATACACTAAAAATATATTTAAGTGTGTGTGTTTATATATATACAAATATATTTTTGTGTCTTTGTAAAACTTCTGTTCAAAAGTGATGTAAGAGATAATTTTGGCTTTGCCAGAAATAGTTCTGTACAGCATAGATCGTTTTACTGGCCATTTTACAGTCACTATTTCATCACTACCAATCTACTGGCTTTGAATCACTCAAGTCTTGTGTTTTGGGAATCAGAGTTCAAGTCAAAAAGACCCACATGCTGCTGGGCAGACCATGCCTTTAACGGCTGCAGATAAAACAGGGGTAACGTGGAAGCAGAGGCCATCATCAGGAGAGATCATTAGAGACACTGCGCTGTGGGAAACTGCCTGCTGCTGCAACATCCTTCTAAAAGGAAGAGCACACACCGGCCTGAGAGACTTAGCTCTGCTTCCTCAGGTAGAAGGGGAAGGCAGAAGTACTCCTGTTGCACATTTCCCATTGCCGCTGACCAGGACCGAGGCAACAACGGTACCCGAGAGCCTGGAGCGCAGAACTGGGTTATGCCCAAACCCAGCAGACAGACAAGGAGGCAGTATACCAGATTCTTGAGGCTCCAAGAAAAAGATATATCAGACATGTCACTTCAGAGGAGTGAACTACTTCCACTCATTTATTACCTTCTCTTCTGAGTCCCCTGGCTGGCAGGTAATAACTCCATCTCGTGAGCCTCCAGCAAATGTTGCTTTGCAGTTTGCAAGCCACTGTTTTCAGAGAGGAATTAAAAGATATGAATAAGGTCTATAGCGTGATTTGCAGAAACGTAGGCAGTATTTTTCTTTCACAGCACAGAATGTAAACACAAAAATTTGCATTTGAACTCCTCGTTCATACAGACTATGACAATTTGCTTGGGCTCTAACTTAGAAATTACAGTCTTGATTTCTATTAGCATTTGAATTGCATAAACCAAGAAAATGAATTAATTAATTACTAATTAGGATAAATGAGAGAGTAGGAATATTAGAGATGTCAATGTTTTTAAGAGTGAGGGATGCAATAATCATTTTTTTAGTTTTGGTTCCTATGTTCCAGAAATAACATTTAATGAATCCAATATTTGAAACAGATTGTTTTACTCAATATTCACTTTAACAGATCTGATACTATCTGCAGTCACATGACATAGCATAAGTTTACATATTAAAAAAAGACTATAATATACTGTAGCATACCGAGAGAGTCGCTTCTTTCCTGTTGTTGTATGTGTCCAGATATTCCTGTAATTCTAGAACACTGAACTTCAGCTTTTCAAGAAGGCCACAGGAGAGGAGCTGGAGAAATTAAATCAAAAGGGCTAGTAAATGTCACTATGAAAGAATAAAAATAATAATAGAACAGAAAGGATAGAACAAAGAAGGTCTTGGAAAAGAATACTTAGATTTAGAGATACTACTACTGAAAAATATTTGATTTTATATTTATACAAATACAATATATATAGATAGGATACTATACGGAAAACCCAACAGTGCCTGTGCATACTTTGGAACTGAAACTGTGTTCTGGGTTTAACAGCTTCAGAGAGGACTTCCCTAAAATAAAATATTGCACAAAGCTTAACTAGTTAATCTCCACAGCTCTTTAATGAGGGAAGGCCCAGCTTTTCCATGGTCACGCAGTAGGTGAAAAGCAGGCCCAGGATGATACTTCAAAAATTCCTATGGCTATACTCCTGCATGAGGCCACTTGGACCTGAGGCTGTTGGATGAATATGGGCCAGAATAAAAACAATGGGAAGAGCGCTCTCATTCTCTAATACACATCTTTATCATCCAGCTCACAACACAGTTCAACCACATGAAGCCACTGAACATATTGTCATCTTTAATGCTGAACTCCGTAAAAAATAGCTTCTCCTTTTCCTGTTGCAGAGCTAACTGGGTCCAGCAGGCAATCATTTTATTTGGTCAAGAACAGGAGATGAGAAGTCAGAGAGAGGAGGTGGGTACCCTCTTGACACATCTGTTCAAGAATTGACTGTAAGTGAAGTAACCAGTGAAAGAACCCACTGCAATGCAGCACATGACTTTCTAAAGGAATATACTCACTGTTTCTGCATCTACGAAAAGGGTAGGACATTCGGAGCATGATGTTAACATCTGAGAAGACCTCACAAACTTTGAGCCTATTCCTCGCAGGTTGTCTCCTAGGTAACTAGCTGCATCGCAGGTTAGGAAGCAGAATCTTTTCTGAATATTCTGCAACGCAAAATAGGACGAGTCATGTTCTTTGCTCAAGTACAAGCTTCTTTCCTTTGTAAACAAATGGCATGCATTTTTTTTCTCCATAAAATAATGGCAAAAGAGACCATCTCCCTGTGGAGAACTGAATGTTTGCTCAAGGATGCTGAGTAATAATTATTATGGCAGACACAGTGTACAGAACTTTCTTTTACTGGGCAGCTGTGAAACCAGTCACAGAATCTCTACCTACATTCTTTTTTGTAAAGACGATTCTTTCTTTACAAAGCCTTCTACCCACAGGTAGCTTTTTCTTAGCTATACAGAGTTAAGTTGGTTGATCAGCACATTACTTTTTCTGCCCATTCCGGGCATTGTTTTGTTACTATTCCATGTCAAGTGGCTAATCAGATAATGTAATGAACATCCTAATGCCAACAGCAGCATGGAAAAATCATAAAAGAAGTTCTGTTTTCCCATGTGGGAAAAACCTTTTTACTAGAACTTTTCTGCTGCTTGGGAGGGCTCCAGAAATACCACATTGCATCCGGGAATTATTCTTCTCAGAAGGTTTTTTTTTTTTTTGATATTTTGAGTTCTAAAAGAGTCTAACCTTCCAGAAGCATTCTGCTGCTGTTGCTTTCTTTTCAGTGAACACATAAATACATAAAAGTTACATAGAAATGCATAAATAATACATAAAATTAATAATAAATAAAAACAATATTTTAGTCTTCCAGGAACTGAAATTAGATACATACACAGCAGGTTTCATTGCCAAAATAGCT